TCGTGTGACAGGAAGGGGTGGAGAAAGGGGGAGAGGCCTGGGCTGTGAGGGGGCGGGGGCTAGACAGTCTCACGCATAACTTCAAAGAGACACCTAGATTAACATCAGAGGCTTATAACACACCGGTGTGAAATCACACCTGCCTGTTATAACACCTCAACCCTCACATCAAAGGGTAAACATCAAAAACTAATTAGATTAGACAACAAAGGGTTCTGAGGGGACAGGGGCCAGACAGTCTCACGCATAACTTCAAAGAGACACCTAGATTAACATCAGAGGCTTATAACACACCGGTGTGAAATCACACCTACCTGTTATAACACCTCAACCCCTCACATCAAAGGATTAGACTACAAAAGGGACAGGGGCCAGACAGCATAACTTCAAAGAGACTGCCTTAATCAACACATCAAATGATTAGACAACAAAGGCACTACACAGGAGGCTTTTCACACCTACCTGTTATAACACCTCACCCCTCACATCAAAGGATCTCGAACAAAGGCAGGCGGGACTTAGCTCTTTAACATAATTGTACCCCCACACATCAAAGGATCTCGAACAATGGGATGCGGGACTTAGCTCATTAGCATAAGTAGGGAGAGGTGTGACCTGTCACACCACCTGTCACTTTTTTGATTGAAGCGGGATGAATATTACTACTATTGCAGGATGATTCAATTTTTCCCTTATGCAACATGAAAGTATCACGATATGTATCAGTTGAGTATCGGTATCGTTCAGTGGTATCGGTATCGGTATCTTAAAAAAGTCAACGATATGCAACCCTACTGGCATACCTCTTTTATGGTGGCTTGAAGTGGTTTTAGGCGATGGACTGCATTGTACTCTGGGGTGTCCTTTTTCCCGTCATTTGCCAAATCGTGGTCTGGGTCGCTCAAGTGTACTGCTGATTGCCATGAACCTGTCTCTTGTCATGACAGAAGCAGTTTTAGAAGTGCCATGAACATCATAAGGCCGACATACATGAGGAATTTTACCGGCTTTAGCTCTTCCCAAACAAACTTTTTCCCCTTAGCCTGCTCTTTTTTTATCATTTTTGTTTGTGTTCTTGCAGATGAGATTTACAGCTTGGTTGTTGAAAACATTTCTAAATATTTGTGCAAGAGTATACTCCACACCAACAAAACCTTGGACTCCAGGGGCTCTTTTCGGGCAAAAGTGTGGTAGTTGTTGGGCAGTATCTGGCACCTCAGGTCCGTTCCAAACAGCTCCTGGCTCTTCTGGGGTCAGAGATGTTTTTTTCCCTTTTCCTCTTCCTCTCCCTTTCACTGTCAGGGGGGCTGGCATTGAGGTACGGTCTGGTTTGGCCTTTTTTCTGGATGCTGCACCCTCCTGGCCACAATATGTTCCCTCTTTGTTTGAAGGAGGCCTACTGATGGGGACAGTGGCTTGTGCATCCCCTCTCTCATCCTCTGGACTAAAATAAAAGGAAGGACAATATATAGATATAAATGTCTGAATTTATTTTATTTCCTTTATTGCTTTTATTTCTCCAGTGTCATCATATCTATTTTCTAAACACAGTCTCAACTTTTGATTTGATTCACACTGTATTCCTCTGCTAACATTACTAGTTGATGGAATCAGTAACTGAATTGTAATGCAATTAATCTAATAACATTAGACCTTATAACAAACAACCAAAGAGGGCAAGCGGAATGAGGCAATAAATGAAAGGCATTGATTGAAGTTTTTTTACTGAAAATAAATAGCCTCTATTGATAGTGAATCTTGACTTCACTTTATGACACAATTACGGCAAATGGCCATGCATTATAAATACTCTTAGGACGAATTATTTACGGCGTTATACGGAAATAGCAACCGATAAATGTGACAATAAGAAATAAGCAAAGTTACTCACTTTTTATCTTCGAAGGGATCAATCCCATGATCGTACTCTTCCTCATCACGCCAGCTGTCAGCTTCGGAATCTGAGGAATCCACCACTACATCGCTAAGCGGTCCGCCGGACAAAATCAATTCTAGGGCTTCTTCCATAGTGTAACGCCGTTTTGACATGTTGGTTTGAATTTGTCTTGGGATGTGTGTGTATATGTATGTATGTGTGTGTGTTAGGGATGTGCATCTCCATCACTGAGGCCGATGCGATGCACATCTCGATACGTTGCCAACGATACGATACATTAACGATACATTTGAAAAACCAGGCGATGCGATACGATATGATTCACCCCTGTTGCGATACAGTTCGATACGAATAAAAAAGTGCTTTACATATTTGGTTCTCTCTACTAGTACTGCGCATCCCATCATGCTGTTTCTTTTTTACCTTTTTCACCTTAAAAAACTCCAGAGTCCAGTACAATTGTATAACACCTCACAGTTAAACAATGTAAGGATGCATTGCTCATGATTAACAATGTGCAAATAACAGCTACCATAGTGCAATGCCCATACAGCTGCCAGCCTGATGTGCTTAACACTCATTCATAGGCTAACTCACCAGTGAGCAGAAAGCAGTGGGTTCTATATGAACAATAAAGAATACAAACCTTTCACAGACAGGTATTTCATAACTGCTTACAGTAAGGAAGACATTTAAACTATGATTGGCCGTCACAGGCTGCTGTAAACTAAACACCACTCTCTCTGACAGAACATCTCACTGAGTGATTGAACTCATATGTCTAACTTTCAGGTTTCTCTTTTCAGCCGCAGACCCCATGTCGCCTCTTTATGTGCGTCGCTAAGTTCCTCATACTACTTGTGTACTTTAAAGCGGCACGGCATCGTTTACAATTTGCGAGCGATTTTTCAAGTTGACCGTCTTTTTTGAAAAATCCAAAGTGTTGCCAAACGTTTGATTTGTAGGTATTTTTCGGTGCGCTGTGTTTCTCTTACTCTTCGACTTCCATGTGTGTTGATAACTGAGACTCGCGGCCTCCGTAGCGCGAAGCAAAGATCGTCGCTGCTGAGTGCTGACAGGATGAGGGGATATTATATGAATGAATCGTTTTTTTACCGATGCAAAGACGCTACAATCGATGCATCGCAAGTTCAACCCAAACTGTAGCCGATGTGCACTCGCATCTTGAACGTTTATGCCGGTGCACCGATGCGAATCGGTGAATCTCGTTTTGTATTTATTTCTCATACACTGGCAAAATTACTCTTTAATCTTACTCTCTTATCTCTCTGTTCCTCTTATGTTTATCTCCACCCGCCAAAAACATACACAGCAACCTATGTTGATTGGTCAAGAAGATGGTAGCATGGGCAGAGGTTTGCCTGGACCTTTACATTTTAAACCTATCCGGACACAGGGGGGTGGGACTTAGCGTCCAAAACCTTTGCTGTTTGGCTCAGACGGAGGGGCTGCGTGGGTCTCCTTGACGAATCAAGGCTGTACAATGTGATGACGTTGCCCCGATCACGTCGGAGCCTCTGAATCCCAGAAAAGGACATAGTGATACCAGCGAATAGCCTAGAATTGCCGCTTTACCTCACTTTTTGAATCAGATGGATAGGATTAGTGGTTAAAAAGTTATTAAGCATTTTAGAACGCTACCTCTTTGAAGCCACGGGCGGCTCGCTCGGTATTTAATGGTTAAAATGCATCGCAATGCCTTGAGAAAGTGCAGCAGAGAGCAGGAGTTTGCTTCCTAAAAGGCTAAATTGTATAAATGTTTAAAGACTTCCTCCGAGCTGGCTTCCCTGATGTCTTTAGGCATTTTGTTCCATAGCTTTGGGGCATAGTCAATGAAAGCTGCCTCACCAATCTCTCAATATCGCTGTTTCTGGGAACTTCTAATAAACCAGCAGCAGAGGACCGCAGTGTTCTTGATGGCTTGTAGTTTACAAGGGAGTTAGTAATATAGCTTGGAACTTGCCCATTAAGGGCCTTATATATCAGGAGGAGGACCTTCAAATCAATCCTAAAGTAAATAGGAAGCCAGTGCAAAGCGGCTAGAACTGGAGTAATGTTTTCTCTCCTCTTAGTTCCGGTTAACAACCGAGCTGCAGAGTTTTGGATGTCAGTAGTTTTTTTTGGGAAGTCTGTGAAAAGTGCATTACAGTAGTCTATCCGGCTGGAGAAGAAGGCATAGTTAACTATTAACTATGCCCTAATATAACACTAAGACTTGTGACCTCCGGTTTGACCCGGTGAGTAAATATCCCAAGATTATTTACCTGCATGTTTCTTTTTGCTTTGGGGCCGACTAGCAGGATTTCAGTTTTGTCCTCATTCAGCTTTAGGAAGTTGCTGCTTATTCATTTATCTATCACCAATAGGCAGTTGGTGATGGAGGTAATAGCTGCAGTGTAATTTGGTTTTGCCGATATATACAGTTGTGTATCATCCGCATTGCTAGGAAAGCATACATTGTGTTTTCTGATCAGGTCACCAAGTGGTAGCATGATTTCCAAGGCTGACATAAAACGTTCTCCCTTTTGATGTATGTTCTGAACCAGTTAAAGACACAGTCAGAAAGCATCATAAACATCTCTAAAGCCTCGTAGTTACCACTTTGTCTTGTTTTTCACATTTTAAGCCATTTAATCAAACAAAATGAAAAACATTATCAGGTTACAGATTTTTTGATATGAGCATTTTTCAATATTGGATCAAATATATAATATAATTTATCAACAAGCATTTAAAGATGCATGTAATGATCCCAATACAATTCAAACCATTTTGCAGTTTATCCCGTTTTAGTATTTTCCCTCATTGTATAACACATGATGATAACATCTCCAAGCCTCTGTCCTAGAGGATCAGGTATTTAAATAGTTGTTCCTGCTATTGACTCTTCAATTCAAGGAGTTTTGATGTATTGATATTTATGAATGTATCCATTATAACCTTTGTTTTCTTAAGTTAATAATTGCGCTGTTCAATTTATATTTGTAATATTATATCAGAATTCAACAAGGAATATATTGATCATATCAGGCTTCAGAGTGCTGTTTGTTCATTGCTCATCAGCGATGTGTTTTCTCTGCAGGCTTTCTATCCTGCTAACAAGGATGTCAGTGTGAAGTATGGTGACACCATTGCAGGCAGATGTGTGTTTACTGGGGAAGGCAGAACCTCCAAAACATATATTGGGTGAGTTTGGTTTATAACATAATGCACCTAATTATTACCCCACACATTTGTACTTTAAGGGGGTAAGGGGGCGTACACAGTACAACCCAACATTCAGGTTAAAAGCAACGCTGTAAAAAAAATGGATCTTTGTTGTGTTTGTTATTTAATTTATCATGAGCTGATGGAATATGATCCAGTAAGGCCAGTTTTAGTGATAAGGCCTTATCTGACACATACACACTACACAGGGGTTTATAATACAATAGACAAGACTTTATAACTCTTTACATCGTCATCTACCGGGAATGTCTTTACTTGATTGGCCATCTTGCACTATTTTTATTGTTGTTATTTATTTATTTATTTTCATGTCTTGTACTTACATTGTTGCGGAACCTGGGAGCCACATGTTTCATTGATTACTACACTGTAGTTGTGTATATGATATGACATTAAACCTTTAAATCTAATTTTTTGTTTTGTGTGCAGGGCTACCTCTGCTGATGAAATGTGCAACTTCTACATAATGTACTACATGGACAGCAGACACGCCGTCCCCTACATGACCTGCATGGAGCCAGGCTCCAAAGAGCTGTTCCAGCATATTCCAGATGAAGCCAACATGCCCATCGCTGTCAGTCCAGCTGATATAAACTCTATGATGCATATGAGGCACTCAACAGGTACACATATATATCAATATTGTTTATATTGTATAATGTTAACCCACATACTATTCCTTTTTTTATTAAGTTTTCCTTCACAAGCTGAATACAATTTAAAAAAACAAAAAGTGTTTGCGTTTCCACACTTTCATAGAAAACACACTATATGTCAACCATACCTCTTTCCTTTGTTAAGATCCATATGTCACGGATAGGATCATATTCTGTGCTAAATAAGAGACATGTAATCATTTACAAAACATCACCATGTTTTTATTTATCAAAATAATGTTGTTTAATCCACGTTGGCGTACGACACAAAACCATCGGTTTGTTTTTTCATCAGGAAATGTAGACCGGCTCAAACGATTTTTAATTATCATCCTCACGATCATTTAATGTATCATATGTTCGCCGAATTGACATGAAAGCACTAATACATGTGGTTTAATCCACGTGAGTTTACAACTACAAAAATAATCGGTTTGTTTTTATATCACATCCGACGGGAGGAAATGCAGTGCTCACGGCTCTCACTACCGATTTTTAATCCTAATTTCATCATCTTCACAATCATTTATGTTTATGTTCGCCAAATTGACATGAAAGCACTGACAAATATGAATATACTGTAGTCAACTTCATTAAAACGTTATTAACTTGCCCAAACTCAGTAATTCACTAAAAAGAGGTTTATTTTTAATGAAGCCTCGTCATCTCACCATGGGCAAACGGGCTATGATATTATACTATTGTTAATAGTGTACTGTATTATTAGTGTTTAATATTACTGCTATAACAATCACACATTGAGTTCATTGTTGTGCAATGTTAAAATCAGACCGTTTTTTTTTTTTAAATAGTCTGAAAGAAACGGCAGCTCTCAGGTGATCAGCTGTGTGTTTACACACCTAATGGTCATCAGCCATGGCCCCCACCCCCCTCTGAGTGAAAAGCTTACAGTTAGCTGTCTTTGTGTATTGCAACCAGGGAGAGCAGTGATGGACGCTGCCACAATGAAACTGTGAAATAAACAGCTGATTCCTCACACACACAGTAGCCTGTTGTTTCTATGCATAAAATAGTGAGAAACATTCCTTTGGTTAATTATTATATAACTTATTTTCTCCATAAAAGCTGGTGGGTTGAAAGCAATACGGGAATTGTGATGCCGTGGCTTTATCTGACAGCGTACTTACATTTATGGCCCGGGACACACATATTTATTTAGATATGTTTTAAACAAGTTTAAATAAAAGGCTGGAGTGTGTCTTGCTCTGCCAGGTACAACAACTGGGAGCGCGGTGCAAAGTATCTATAGAATACGGCGCTGGGTTATTGTTCTTATTATAGCCTACATCATGTAGTCCGCTGTATAGAAAACTGTAGTTTCCCCACAGCATCAGACGCACATTCATGACGTCCGCTGGCGCATCATAAATACGTCGATAGTGTAAGTGCATCGGATTCTCAAAGCACTGCAGTCTCTTCTCCTAAATCCTTTTGAATTCTCCTATGCACTATTTATTAACCCTGAAACGGTGTGACAAAGCTCTACCATCCCCCCTCTGTTAACAAGAGATATGCCCCTTTCACACCAACGCGGTTCCAGAATCTGGTTCGTTTCAAGCACCAAAAAGTTGTCGGTCTAGAAAGCAAGCACCGCATACGTCACGCTTACGTCGGAGGCGGGGCATCAGTTTTAATGTTATACCATAGTAATTAATGCTGCAAAGCTGGGTATTTTGAGCTTGGCGCATGCAGAGGCTAACAACAGCTAGCTCTAACGCCATCGAATAGGACGTATATTTATCTTCTTTCTCCTACGGAATCGTCGTTGAAGTTGATGATGATGATTGTAAAGAACTTTTGAATGTAGCATGTAACGACTGTAAAGTTGGTAGTAAACTCGTCCCATTTCTTCCATTTAGTTTCGACAGAGCAAAACCAAAACGAGTAGCGCTTCAATACAATCGGTCATTGTTGTTGCTGTCGATGTGAGGGGTTTCCGCGCGATTTGGCTTTATGAAGCAGGCACGCAAACGGTTACGTCATGACGCAAACAATGACGCAATGACGCAGCACCAGTCGGTCTCTGAGCGGTGTGAACAGAGCGGGAGCTGAACCGAAGAACCGGTTCCGAACCAGAAAAGCTCTTGCACGGAGCTAGAACGGGAAAAGCCTTGGTGTGAAAGGGGCAATAGTAGCCTATGTTGCGGACTCTATGTTTAAAACTAATTGCCCATCGGAATGTGCGGAGAAAGTCTCCCAAGGGGGATGGGAGACTTCTGACTTTTGTCACATTCCGATGGACTATCGGAATGACATGCAGGGCAGCATTGCCGGTCTGAAAGGGTCTCTGGAAATATCAAACATTTAATTCAAGTTTTAAAAACAGTGACAGGTTAAAATCAGAGGTGGAAGAAGTATTCCGATTATTTAACTAGGTAAAAAGACGTGTTAGAAGCAAATGTCCTGCATTCAAAATTGTTAATAGCCCAAGTGAAAAGTATTATCATCTGAAAGTAAAATTAATCATTATGTTATTAGTATTAAATACATATAATTTGTACAACTTATATTTAGAAATACTCCGTTGTAATTATTGATGCATAAATGTGTTCATCCGTTCAATGTGGCATCTGCTATAATGGGGTTATTGTATGATATTACTTAATAATACAACACATTACTGTATAATACGTGATAATGTATGAGTTGATTTACTTCAATCTACTGTACTGTGTACACCACAACAATATTACAAAAATATACTGCATATTAACCCTTTGGAGTCCAGGGCTAATTTGGCCGTTTTCGCATACTTTTGATTTTTCTTACTAAACCCTATTAAGAAATGTTTGGCATGTCAATGTTTGGTATCTTTTTTTTAAGGACAACCTCACCTATATAACCTGATAGTTATTTATGTCATTTTGAGATACTATATGAACATTTTGGACCCAAAATCACAAAAAAACGTAAAAACAGATTTCGAAAATGATATTATTTTTCATATAGGTAACACAAACATACACAACGAAACCATTTGAAAGCTGGACATATATACATGGGATGTCACTATGATAATGTGAAAGTTTGATTGAGGTAGCATGAACCTATATACAAATTGTATGAACAAATAACAGGTGTATCCATAGGCTTTTTCCCCTAATTTCTTAAGTTCTGTCAACAGTGATACAGTAGGCACAACAAAACATTTAAAAGCTTAAATAATGTACATGTGATTTCATTCTGATATGGCAAAAGTGTTATTATAAATATAATACAAATATATATATACACATTATGTACAAAAATCAGTTTTTTCTGTCTTTGTCTGTGCCACGCTTCAAAGCAGTTTCTGCCAACTACGACACAGAGGGCAAAATCACAGGCTCCTCCTCCTCCTCCATGTCAAAAAACAAGCTTATAGCTTGACTCACGTTCAGAGTTCTCTTCATCATAGTTGAATCTTCAAAACTCTAAATCTATCTAACTATATCTAAATTCTCAATGTTTGTCTGTCACTTTACTTCAATCGCAGTCTCCCGCCGTCTCTCTTCGTCTCTCTTCGTCTCCCGCCGCCTGTCTTCGTATATCTTCGTCTCTCTCCATTTCCCGCCGTCTCTCTTCGGTTCCCGCCGTCCCTCTTCGTCTCGTTTTGTATCACTCCGTTTACCTGATTACCTCACCCCCTCCCTGGTAAATAAATCCTGTTGAGCAGAATCTAAAGTTTCCAGTATTTTCCGTTTCGTAAAATGATAAAATACGGCGAAGATATTAAAATATGTGCTTCCATTATTCATACTTTTTAAATATATTTGTATTAACTTTAATCATTGTATCTCCGTGTTTATTGGGTCTTTTTGCATGAAACAAAGACTTGCATATAGTTTCAAGCCAGTACTTTCGACAGAAATACACATATACATCCTGTTGAGCAGGATCTACAGTTTCCAGTATTTTCCGTTTCGTAAAATGATCAAATACGGCGAAGATATTCAAATATGTGCTTCCATTTTTCAAACTTTTGAAATGTATTAACTTTATATCATCGTATCTCCGTGTTTACTGGGTCTTTTTGCATGAAACAAAGACTGGGATATAGTTTCAGTCAGCCAGTACTTTCGACAGAAACACACGGCAATGTTGTCCGGACTGTTGTTTTTATGCGGCTTGAACAGGTCATGTGATCTGATCACACCGGCGTGACGGTCGACTCCAAAGGGTTAAAGCAAACTATTGTAAAGGTAAAAGTATGAGCATAAAAAATAAAGAAGTGTAAACATTTACATTATTATTATGATTATTTAATATATAAAGACTATATATTATTGAATTACAATTAAGATCATAAGATTAGATATACTTTATTTGATCTAAAATATTGATGTTTTTTCGTTATAGTAGCCTGTGAAAACCATAACAAATAAGTGATTCAATGCTACAGTATTCAGCAAACACAACTGCAGAGCTGCAAACATTGCAAACAGACTAAGGCCTACAACACCCAGTTGTCTTTGTGTATTTGTGAATGAAGCGCCATCTCATGGTTAAGTCTTGTAATTGAACAAATGGGGACATTTGGTAATGCCCTCTAGCAATTTGGCAACGCCCCCAGCCACTGGGATCCGCTGGGTTTTTGGTTGGAATTCATTTCATTTCATTTCAAACCTTTATTTAACGAGATTGGTCCCATTGAGATCATAGATCTCTTTTTCAAGGGAGACCTGCAGCATATAGGTTCCACATGAAACATAAAACAATAAAGGACATTATACATTATATTTACAGGATACATTTACATAGTTATAGACATTTACAAGTGCCCATAGTATCAACAAGCATTTCATTTAGTAGGGATATCCCGATCACCTTTTTTTGCTCCCGATCCGATTCCGATCATTTGATTTTGACAATCTGCCGATACCGATTTTTCCCCGATCCGATCTTTATGCAATGCATTAAGAGAAAAAAAAGGAAAAAAGCATTCAAGTTGTCCCTTAAGGTTATTT